ACGCAGGAGTGGGCTGGAAGTGGTATTAGTGTTAATAAGGTGTGGAGTGTATACAAACATTTGTGAAATGCCTATCTTGTATTAAGCACTTTATATGTGTTTTGTTTTTTCAAATTTTCGTAAGAAGTTCATGGAAAAAGTTTTATCTCAGTTTTGACAATGTGGAAACTAAGGCTCAGAGAAACCAGACACTTCTCATTGAGCTCATAGTGCCAAGATCCAATCCAGAACAGCCTGACTCCAGAGGTTGTGTTCTGTCCTCCACACCATCCTCCTGATACAAGTGTCTGGGAATATAGAGGTCAAATATGATCAGAGGTCCAGGGTACCAACCTGAACATTTGGGATTCCTGGAACAAGTAAACCAGTTGAGGTTATTTGGGTTTCCTGTATGGTGTTCTAAAGTAATTTTGGGGTACCAACCAATAACTAAAGTAACTTGACAAACCAGTGAAGTTTTGTAATTATATTTGATTTTGTCTAGTGGAACAAAACTTGAGGGAGATGATGAAGAATAAGGTCAGAAAGAAATCACAGTGATCTCATTTTAACTTAAATTTTTTTCATTCATCAAAAATATATTTATTACTGAGATGTACAGATATCATTAAAAAGTATATGAAAAAAGGGAGGTGGGCTCTATACCTTTGTTTATTTAAAAAACTTGATTGTCAGACTACTTTAAATGGTTAATTTGCTTATTAGAGCTGACTCTTCTGAATTATGTCTCTTTCTCTCACCTGACTCTATTTGACTTCTGTAGCTTTTGCCACTTAGATCATCCTTTTCTTTTTGTTATTTATCATTTACTGCTGATAGCTGTCAAATTGTGTTAGCTGACAGCAAAATGATTGTGCATTTGGACACAAGTGACAGCATTCTGGCCTAGCCACATTTTCAAAGGAATCTGGATGGTTTTTAAAGATGTATTGCTGGAACATTATTAGCACGTGGGGCCAACTATTCTTCAGAAGAAGGCCAAGACAGTTTGTCTAACAAAGTGGTTTGTGGAGCTTTGCATAGTAAAGAATCTGTGGTCAAGGCCAGGTTTGGTGGCTCATGCCTGTAATCCTAGCAGTCTGGGAGACTGAGGCAGGTAGATTGCTTAAACTCAGGAGTTTGAGACCAGCCTGAGCAAAGCGAGACCCCATGTCTACTAAAAACGGAAAAACTAGCCGGGCATTGTGGCAGGTGCCTATAGTCCTAGCTACTCGGGAGGCTGAGGCAGGGAGATCACTTGAGCCCAAGAATTTGAGGTTGCTATGAGCTATGATACCATGGCACTCTACCAAGGGTGAGTGACAAAGTGAGGAAAAAAAAAAAGAATCTGTGGTCACCCAAGAATAAGCAACAGAAGGTGATCTTGGGCAGAAGAACTGGCATCTGAAAAGTATTAACAAGATTTAAATTTTCCACAAAAGTAAAAAAAACAAGAAAGATTGACAGCTTTTTGTTAGACAGACAAAAGGAAAACACCCTTTGGCCCAGCTACCTTCTCCTCCTTACCACAGAGGGTGAGCTTTAGGAGTGGTGCAGTGGCTTTGGGTCAGACAGTACTTACATGTCAGCGTACTGAACGCAACTCCATTTCCCCATCTGTAAAAGAAAGATGATATATCAACCCTGCAGGTAGGTGTTGGGATTAAAAGGGATAAAAAAATAAAGTATCGACACATGATAGAAACTCCCGCAGATGTTAGCTCCTCCTCTGATCACCCTTCTGCTCCTAAAGCATTTTTCAGCCACTTGTGAGGACAGGTAGGACAGGCAGGACAAGATGTATGTCCTCCCCACACTATTGTTTTGAATTCTTGCTGTGTTGATGAGGGGTTCAGTTGTTTAAGAATTTCTAAACATTAATTTAAAAGTATTTTCTTTCTTCTTCCCTCCCTTTCTTCCGTTTAAAAGTATTTTCTTT